ATTCTTAACAAATTCATATTTTTGTGTGTAAAAAAAAAGAGTCATTTTTGTTATAAGGTTGTAAAATATATTATAAGGTTGCTGTATATTACAATATATACATAGAATTTGACGTATTTAATATAGACAAATGCATGTTGTGTTATGTTCCTGTTTGATGTATCAAATAAAATGTTAGGCAACATGCATCTCTTCGTCACCTAACATGATCTTCAATTTCTTAACTACAAATTGTACAAATAAAAATAATATTCCAAATGGAAACACTCGTTGAAATTTTATTTAGGAAATTCTTAGATTGTACGCAATATATGTTACGAATATTATACTGATACACATGACATAACATTCGTGATATGAATATGCGTTTAAGAAAGCTAATATCTCGGAAAATAAAAGTAGAGAACTGGATTTTATAAAAAAAAATTAAAAAATTGGAAAATGACAAAAATCTATGTTTTTGAGAGGAATTTTTTTGTTGTCATTTTCCTAATTTTCCTTTAATTTTTTGTCATCTAGCTAACTATCCCTTAAAAATATCTAATATTAATCGGAATTTGTTATAAAAATTCCGAATACGACAAAATTAAATCCAAATTTCTATTAATTGTTTTTTTTTTATTTGACATGAAAAAATAATTAACAGTCACAAATGCTTTTTGTTAAGGACAAATTTCTTTGAAAATTCGCCACGTGGAAATTTATCTCTCACACTGTCTTAAAACCTTTAAGAAGGTCGTCTGTTTCTTTGTCATGCTTTGTACTTTTCTGGATTTTTCGATTGATCCAAAAAAGTTGCTCTCTTTAATTATCGGTATGTTTTTTTTTTTTTGTTCTCTCTCTTAAAATCTAAATTCATGTTCTGTTTTTCGTGTTTTTGTCATAGCTTTGACTATCTGCTAAACTAATGTGATGGTTCATTGTCTTCTTCTTCCTTCTCTCTGAGTTTTTACCAACTCTTACCAATCACTTTTTCTATGCAACTTTTTTTTTCTTATTTTCAATCAGAAGAAACCAAAAAATGCATGTGAATTAAAGTTTCCAGAAGTTTATAACAAACAAGTTTCTAGGTAGTGTAGAAATTGTTTTTTCTTGGGATAAAGCAGAGCTTTGAAATGAAATCTTGATTTTGACTAGAACTGAAATTTTGAGTTTTTTTAAGAGGTTTTGTTTCTTTGCTACAAGGATTAATAATGGATTTGAATAGGTTGTAATCTAAGCCTAGATTCGAGCCAAATCCGATGTTTTTCTGGATCTGTTAAAATTCCGGCGAGTTACAGAGTTTCCCGACAACTTTCCGGTGAAACTCCATTTTTGGTTTAGATTTCGTCTCTGCTTACTCAATTTTGCATTTCTTGCTAAAATTATGCTTTATAATAATCGCAGAGTCAAAAGGAATGGAGAAAAGCTTAGATTCAGAGCTATGGCATGCTTGCGCTGGAGTAATGGTGAAGATACCGCCGGTAAATTCAAAAGTATTCTACTTTCCTCAAGGCCACGCCGAGCACGTCTCCTCCTCCTCCTCTGTCGCCACCGTCGATTTCCGTCACTTCCCTCGGATTCCGCCGTTGATTCTCTGTCAAGTTACCTCCGTTACATACCTTGCTGATCCCAAAACCGACGAGGTTTACGCGAAAATCGGATTGATACCGGATTCTTTAGGGACTGTATTTGATCAAGAAGAAGTGTTTGATGGCAATGTTAAGCAGGAACCACCAGTTTCTTTTGCTAAGACTCTGACTCAATCTGATGCTAATAATGGAGGAGGATTCTCTGTGCCACGGTATTGCGCGGATACGATATTTCCGCGGTTAGATTACACGGCTGACCCGCCGGTTCAGAACATTGTAGCTAGAGACATTCACGGCGAGACGTGGAAGTTTAGACATATTTACCGGGGGACTCCGCGGCGCCATTTGCTGACTACCGGTTGGAGTGCTTTTGTGAACCATAAGAGACTTATGGCTGGAGATTCCGTTGTGTTCTTCAGAGCGGTTAGTGGCGATATATGCATCGGGGTTAGGAGGATGAAACACTCTAGCGGTTGGAGCGGCTTGCCAGATTATTCTTTCTGTTCGTTTATGCGGGAGGCGGAAAAGGAAGGGAATGTAGTAATGATTAGTAGTAATGGTAATGGAAACGGTTCGAGAGTTAACGATGAATTGGTTGTTCAAGCGGCTATAAAAGCGGCAAATGGGAAGGCGTTTGAGGTGGTTTATCACCCGAGGAATAGCACACCGGAGTTTTGTGTGATGGCAGGGACGGTGAGGCGTGCAATGGAGGTCCAATGGTGTCGTGGGATGAGATTTAAGATGGCTTTTGAAACAGAGGATTCGTCGCGGATAAGCTGGTTTATGGGGAGTGTTTCAGCTGTTCAACCCGCGGATACTATCCGCTGGCCAGATTCTCCTTGGAGACTTCTTGAGGTGGCATGGGACGAACCCGAGATGCTACAAAACGTTAAACGGGTGAGCCCGTGGCTTGTGGAACCTGTTTCTGGTATACCTGCCTTAAACTTCTCCCCGTTCTCACCACCGTTTAAGAGCCCGAGGCTGCTTCAACCGCCGGACTACACCCAGTTTCCAGCCCCAAGATTCTCCTCAAACTTATTCGAACCAAGGAACTTCTTACCCGAAAACCGCGACAACAACATCAATGTTCCTGATTGCATGCAGGGAGCCAGGCACACTCAATTCGATTTATCCTTAACCCGATTCAACAATCCAAAGTTTATACCCGCCGCAGCGACTGACACAAATGATAACGACGTTTCTTGTTTGCTAACAATGGATCTCAACCACTCAGTCAAGAACAACGAGAGGTCGAAAACGTCGCAGTTTATTCTTTTTGGAAGGCCAATCCTCACCGAACAAGAAATCTCACTCCGTCTTGAGAAAACATCTAAGTATAGTTCATTTAACTTGGAGACAACTAATCATTGTAAAGTCTACATTGAGTCTGAAGATGTTGGACGGACAATAGACCTCTCGGTTCTTGGATCTTACAATGCGTTTTGCGAAAAGATCGGTAAGATGTTCGGGTTAGTAAACTCGGTGATGCTACATAACGTCATGTACTGTGATGGTACCGGTGAATTCAGACCCGTAACATATCATGAACCGTTCAGGTGCGTGTATCATTCTTCATTTGCCCAGTTAAAGTCTAGACCTTCTCGTTGTTTCGAGTCTGAGGAAGTGAGTTTTTTTTCTTCTATGGCATTTGTTTTTGCAGTGAGTTTGCGAGAACGGCTCGTAGATTAAAGATTCATATGGATTCAAAAACGTTCAAGTAGTGATACTAAAGAAATGTTAGCACTTAGCAACTTGTTTTTTTTTCTTTTTTTGGAAAACCGGACCGGTTCAAAATAACCAAACGGTTTGGATTTGAGTGCATTTTTGCATTGATGATATTAGGATATTCGGAATAAGCGTAAATCATGTCATGTAAATATACCGAAAACTTTTGAATCACCGGTTTGCTAATTTCTTGTCTTTGGTTTTATAGATTTTGAATTAATATTTTGTTTTATGCTAAAGTAAACTTTGGATTATGTTTGTAATTTTGTAAGATTTTGGGTTAAAATTGTAGTTTTCAATATAACTAAGACGTCACACTCGAGACAAACAAATCAACTCGACAAAACACACATGCGGGATGTGGATCCCAATCCCATGTGATCGGTTTAATTTCTGGATGTCCACGTGCGGGTCCCGTGTGATCGATTACTTTAGAGATTTTAAAATGATTTTTGAAGTATTTGCAACCAGAAACATTATCGTTTGAATATTCAATTTACTTCTCTCTCGAGTCTCTAGTAAGCATAATAAAATTTTCCAGCATATGTATTTTCTAAAAAAATGAAATGGAAAAAAGCTTCTGAAAAATCATAGTACAAGTATTATTTGACTTAAAAAGCTTATTAATTACTCTTTCCATAGTTAAATAATTTTTTAGAGAGTTTTTTTGTCTCAAATTAGATATTGTTTTAAGTTTTCAAAGTAAAATTAATTATGTTTTTTTGTTGTTTTTGACTTTTTAAATTCTACAAATTAGTTTTCTATTGATTAAATTGTATTGGAATTGATGTTTTATGTTGAAAAATAAGAAATTAAATAGTTTCTTAATTTATGTATAGAAACCTTAAAAATCATTTAAAATGATATAGAGAGAATAGTCATTTATCAGACCATTACATTAATTTTCTCCGTAAAAAATGGTTAAAACGTAGAAGGTAATTAAGAGGAAACAACCTCTTTCCCGATGCATTTGCCTGCTTTAGTTGAAAATTTTAATTTATGAGTAACACAAAAAATAAGTTAATAGTAGTAAATTCTTGGGTTTCTGTTCATTAATAGATGGCGTGTTATTCTACCGAGATACTCATGCATGATGCACGAACACACTTGTTTTGAGTTTTGACCATTGTGCATGTGTGTTTATTTTATGTTATCTTCATACACCAAGATTAAACCCTCGAAACTTTACAAATATCGGAGATACTCAAATATTAGAGTGTTTTGTACCGTATATGATGGATGTATATAATTAGGCTAATAATTAGTTGATGTGTGTGAAAAAGAATATTATATATAAAATGGGCTTTGAAAATTTGAAAATACATCATGGGCTTTTTGCAAATAAGTGACAAGAAGAATGTATTCTCTTTGGACTCTTACAAGTCACCATAATCTCATGTTCTGTAAAAGGAAAAAATAATAAAATAAATAACTGATTATAATAAATTCCCTAAAATTAGGCTTGAATTTGGAACTAAGATTTGTGATAACATGATAGTAGATTTGTTTTGGGAGATGCTAAATTTTGGTAGATAAGCTTCTTTATTTGTTGGTCAATGTCAATGGTAGATAATCTCCCTTTTTCATAAAAAAAAAAGTAAAGTAGATTAGAACATATAATTAAGAAAATTATTAAGAAGATAAACTATCATAATCACACAAAAAAAAACTATCATAATCAATATGCTATTTGAAAAAAAAAAGATTTTTATTCTCCTTACGTATATTATGATTGCTTGTACTTATTGGATTGGGTGAACCAAGACTATTCTCAAGGAAAAGAATATTTTCTCTACTTTTTAAAATTATTTTAGTTATTAGATAGATAATT